TTGAGGCAACTTTTCTTTATTTTCTTAGTCAACTATAAATCCCCCTCAGGCAGGAACCTTGCCCATCCTCTTGAGAGGCTACCTCTAAACCCTTGGAATTTCCTTAGGGATAGAAGTGTCTTTGTTATTGGTGGTGGGTCCCCTGGGAGCACACTGTATAATTTATGCCTTGGAGGTGACTCATCTTATGACCATAGATAACTTATGCTAAAGAGATAACTCAGAATGACGACTGGCCAAACCAGAAAGAATCACCATGTTATTAGAGGACTTTGGACCATTTAACATCAGCCTGACCTCCAGGGAGAAGGAAGGGCTCGAGATTGAGTTCAACCATGTTGCTATGTTCAATCAATCATGCCTACGTAATGAAGCCACAATAAAAATTCTGGACATTGAAGCTCATGTGAGCGAACATGTTTGGTTATATTCCACACGTACTGCTACATTTCAATGCCAGCAGGGTAACCTGGAAGTTACACATTTGGAACCCTCCTAGAATCTGCCCTACATGTATCTTCATTTGGCTGGTTCTAATTTGTATCCTTTCGCTAAAATAAAACTATAATCCTAAGCATAGCACTTTCCTGAGTTCTGCTGAGTTGTTTTAGCAAATTATTGAACAGGAGGGTGATCTGGAGAGAACACTGAACTTGTGGTTGATGTCAGAAGTCTTGGGCCAACTTAGTAGTCTGGAGGACTGTGCTCTTAACATTAAGTTTGGCTAACTCCAAGTGGCATATTATGACAAATTAGGGACCTCTCCTCCTCCTTTTTTGCAGCTGTTTTATGTTTCATGGACCATTCTTGGAATTCCTTACTATTCCTCAGTATACCTCACACTACTTTTGCATTTTGTAATGATCACTTTTCTTAATGAATCTTCCTGTACCCTCCTAAATTTAATTCCACTTAGGGTTTGTGATCTATGAGGATCAAATCTGTTGCCCGTATGGTAGCTAAGCCAGAAGTGTGCTGTGATGTTGCCCTCCTAGGACCCTGGGAAGGCCAGGTGGGGCCTGTGACAGCTGGAGCTCCTGGACTGAGTGCCTTCAACCTCCCTCATTTCAGAATATGGCCAATTCTTCCTACAATCAACTGTATAGCTAACATAAATTTAATTTTCTTTGTAATAATATCTAAAGGGTTAAACTATTTTTTATTTCACTATGATTTCTTACATAATTCTTTGAAATAGGAGTCTTAAGACATTTTCTTTTTCACAAAAGATTTTTACTGAAATAGAATTGTTAAACTCTCACTGAGTTGAGGTCTAATTGAAAATTTATGAAAATTAAACGTAGAATGAAGTATGGATTAAGTTTGGCACCATCTAGGAAGAAAAGACCTAACCAGGCAAATCATGAAGTAAGATTTTAAGGAACACATAGATATATTTCAATAATTAAATTATTTTAAGGCATTTAGCATGTATGGTATGTACACACATTGATTTAGTATATAATTCTAAAGGAAAGCAGAAAGACATGAAAGAAAAGTCATGAAATTTGGAAGCCCAAAACCTGGACTCAATTCAATTTCTATCCCTCATCAGTTGGTGGTGCTGGCAACTACCAAAATGAATTATAATTCATTTTATAAATGTTATAAAATAAGGGAAATTATAAAAATATAAATTTTAAAATAGAGGATAACATCTTTTTAGGTTTGTTGCAAGAAGTAATCAAATGAAATAATGTATGCAAGTATATACTAGCACAATATAATGGAAGACATCTATGGTACCATTTAAGTTGATATTTAATGTAGTTAATATTTATTATTATTACTCCAACTTGTGACAACCCAAATATAAAATAATTCAGGCAAAGAAGTATAAAGAACAGATTAAAACAAAAACCAAAAAAGTGACAGTGCCTCCACCATCCAGCATCATGAAGAAAACTTTATAAATCTAAATCAACCTCCCAAGTATGCTCCTCCCAGATTTCATTCTTCTTTCATCCTGGTATCAGATGTAACAAGTATTTGTATTTGATGTTTACCAGTTGCAAGTAAGTTTTTAAACATTTTCCACATATGTATACATCCACCAATTACATACATTATTTTACATATCTTTAAACTTTCTACAAATGGCTTCATACTGCATGTATCCTATTGTAATGTTCCTTTCTTAATATTGTTTTTGAGATTTATCTATGTTTAGCATGTTTCTTGTTCATTCATTTTAACTGGCATAGTATTCTACTATATGTGTATGTCACAATTTATGCATCTATTCCAGTGATAGGCATTTCAGCTTGTCTCCAATTTTTTGCTGTTAAAAATAATGTACCAGGAAACATATTTTAAATTTTTCATGTGTGCCCAAATGGATTGCTGAGTTATAGGGAATGCATATATTCAACTTGACTGGATATTTCCAAATTACTCTCTGAAGTGTGGTTTTATTATGGTGTATTCCCACTAGGTATGCCTACCTTTTTTTTGCCAACACTTACATTGTTAAGACTTTTTAACTTTTAGAAAAAGTCTTTTTACAAACTTAAAATTAAAAAAATAAGCTTCCTATATTAAAGTTACAAAAAAACAACCCCAACAACCTTCATATGCAACCATTCAGTAATTTGTTATAAGCACATGAATTTCAGATTTGATTTATGCTAGGTCAATGTAATCAACAATATTAACAAGACATGATGGGTAGAAAAACTTTTGATTGCTTGGTTGGTAACTGGGTGAAGTGAATTACTATGGATCTAAACCAACTAAGCAATGATTAGCTGAAATATCAGGCAAATAAGTTTTCAGCTGGAGTAAAGGATAGCTTGACCATTTCAAGCTACAAATGGATTTGCTATAAGATCAGGTTTTAGGGAAAAGCTACAGGTTTTGGTTCAGGTGACCCCTGAAATATAGTTGTTAGACTTGGGAGCATTATCCAATAACCACTACCTTAATCTTAAAGAAGAGATGACAAAGAACAAGATGAGAGATGGCTTAACCTGCTGATATTTGGCTTCAGTTCAAGAGGTGCTAAGGTCTTCCTCAGCACAGGGAAGAGACATGCTTGAATACAAACTTTACAAATTCCTACTGAGCCAATATTTCATAGCACTGCATTATTGCATTGTGGCAAGTATGGATTTCTATAACACTAGCTCTGGTGTTACATAATTAAGAAAGTATGTTATTAAGGAATGACATGTACCACTCAGTGGTCCTTTCAGTTTATTTTAGAATATAGCTATTTGTAGTTTTTCTCTTCACTCAGATACTAAAGGTACTCAAGAAATTCAATTTCATCTTTCTTTTAAGTTCTAAGGAAGAGAAAACTGTGGAACCAATCGCAAACATTTTAAAGCAAGTTAATGTTTACTTTTAGTTTGAATCTGTTGAGATGAAAAAAGTTATAATCCCACAACAAACTTTTAGGACTGGCATGCAGCAACTTTTGTCTGACTTAGATATGTCCACTACAAGAACTACGCTGGGCAGACTCAGCAATTATCCTTTTCTCTATAATAAGGGTTTTGAACTCTCTGACCTTGAAGATCTTGGTGTTTCCTATGGACCTTATCTTTTTGTTTCACTGAACCTCTTTTCCTCTGCACAGTTCTGCTTTGAAATTCTATCTTAGGTTAATTCAAGCTAAAAGGAAACGTGGAGATCTACCTTGCTATCGTTTTACAGGTGAAAAAGCCAAATGATTTGCTCAATATCACCCAACTAATTAGTAGTGGTGATCAAGAAAAATACATTAAATGTGTCAATAAAAAGGAATACTAGTCATTGACATATGTGCTTTCCATCTATTAAAAAAAGTATTGCATTTTGGAAAATAGATATATTGCACCTTGATTAGAAAAAATTTGGAAAATACTGAAAAATATACAGAAAAAAATTAAATGTAAATCACCCATAATCTTATCATTCAGAAAAGCTATTAACATTATGATGCAGTTTCTTCTACTCTTTCAATTTCTCTGTATTTAAAAACATAGTAAAATTGTAGAATTTTAGAAAATTAAGATTACATACATAACATTTATATCCCTTTTTCACTTTACATTAGGCCATTTTTTATCTTATTAAAGTATATAATAAAAATATTTTAATGATTGTATAAAATTCTTTAAATTGTTTTTGCTATACTTTATTTAACCATTCTCCTATCACTAGACATTTAGGTTGTTAATAACCACACACATAAATCTTTGCATTTCTAATTATTTCCTTATAAGAAAAATCTAGATATAAGATTACTGGGTCGAAGAGTACATGTAATTTAATGGCTCTTTACATAGCCCGGTTGACATCCAAAATGATGTACTAATTTATACTTTCACCAGTGGAGTAGTATAGAATGCATGTATCATTTCATTCCTCATCAACAATGGACAAAAGTTTTTTGAAATTTTTGCTAAGGTACAGGCAAAATGGCTCTTTAAATTTGCATTTTTCATCATTACTACTGAACATTTTTCATTTATCTATCATCTATATAACCTCTTCTATTAATGTTTATATTGTTTTTCCATTTCTTAAGCAATGTTTTATTGAAGTACAATATACATACATACAGAAAAGTACATATATCTTAAGTGCAAAGCTCAGTGATCTTTTTATGAACTGAATACATCCACATACACCAGAACAAAAAACAGAACATTATTAGCACCCCAGAAGCTATCTTTGTGTTTCCCTGCAAGTATTGTCTATCACTCTTCTGACTTATATCATAAATTTATTCTGCCTATTTTTGTAGTTTTACACATTTTATTATAATAATTTTGTTTTAAAAAGTTAATTTACATTCATTATAAAACGTTGAAATATTACAAAAAAATTAACAAGCCATCCAAAAATCATACTACCGAAAATAACTATTAACCATGATGAACATGACATTTCTGTAAGCACTGATAGACAGATATAGAGAAACAGATAACTTATCTCTTAGAATAGGATTATAATCTTACTTTAATTGAACAAAAAAAACTAAAATAAAACTTAAAAAGAACCTCAAAAACTTCAGATAAATGTCGAGTATACATAAACCATTAAGAGATATGAGTTTTATTAAAAACAAAAGCTTTGTTTCAATTTTGCATATTACAGTGATTTCCTACATTGGAAAAACGAGATGATTAACATTTATCCCCTCATTTTTCTCTTTTCTCCCTCTAGTTTTGGTTTCTTACATTATTTTTATTTTATCATTTACACTCGATTCTATGACCATAATTTCTTTATTTACTGCTTCTATTATTTTGAATCATCCTTTAATTGGTTTCAACAATCAGCAGTGTCCCACCCCTTCTTTCCTTTAAAGACTCAAATTATTTTTGAGTGTGAGCATATCTACATGAAGCCTTAACAGTAAAAAGATAACACAATTTTCTTGGGTCACATTTTATTTCTTTTATAAAGTTGTAATAACAACTAACATATATGTGATAAAAATAGTAACAGGAAAACTTAGTGCTTAATATGTATCATATACCGTTTAAACATTTCATATATGTTAACTCATTTAATATTAACAACCACCGTATGAGGTAGGTAGCATTATTGTCTTTATTTTACAGATGAAAAATCTGAGGCACTGAGAAATAAATTGACTTGCCCAAAGTCACTAATTATGCAAGACAGAGCTCTGATTTGAATGCAGGTAGTCTGGCTCAAGAGTCTGTGCTTTGAACTGCTACATTATATTGCTTTCATTGTTTGCAGCTGGAACATGACTGGAGGAAAGGACAATAGAGAATGCTACTAGCTTTAAGGGGCAAAGGCCAGGGATGCTAAATGTGCAACAATGAATAGGGCAAAGCCATACAATAAAGACTGTACCAGTCCCTCACAAAAGTTCTGTTTAAATTTTGCATATTATTGATTTCCTAATAAGAAAAATGAAATTAGCAGTTAAATATTTTGTTGGGACATCCATAAGGTGAAAATCTGTTTAAAATTACTTGATCCTTGAACTATTTCCATACAAGTATAAAGAATTTTTTTATTTCCAATGTTTTTATATGCTCAGTTTTCCAGGAATATAACTACTTTGGTCCAGAAAACCTGTTCAATGTTTGGAAAATCATATCACTGATAGCAATATCACAATCCATAGCATTTGAGATGCCAAGCAACACCCCTACTTCAGTATATATATACAGCCCCACATTCCTGAGTTCTACACGAGTGCCAGCATTATTTAACTACTTCACTATATCTTCCAATGTAGTCATGGCCAAGAATTTACATAACAATGTAAATATTTTATTATAAATTACTTTTATTTCTCCTTCCTAGTCAACTAGGACATGTTGACTTTAAAATTATGGATATGCTCTATTATCTATTTCATTTCAGGATCCAAAAAGCTCCTAGATTTATTGAGATCCTATAACATTATATGACAGTTGTAATTCTTTTTATTTTTTTTAATGACAGTTGTAATTCTTGAGGGTTTCTTTCTTTTTTTTTTTTTTGACTATTTTCCTCTGATGTCTTTAGTCCACTTTTTTCCAAATTCATACACATCATAAGAAAACTTAAAATCTGGTTGATTCATCTTGTTTTCAATATTATTTTGAGAACTGGCTGCAGGTGATACTGAGAGCCATGCCATTCTGTATCAGAAAACTCAGTTTATTTCTATAGGTTCCACGTCTCAAAGTTATGTCTTTTTCTTTGTTCTAAGTCCTTTCCTTGTTTGGTTGTGGCTGCTGGGTGAGTTTCTCGTTGCCATTCCTTTTTAGCACTATTTGATCATTTTGTTAGCTTTTGGGGAGTGAGTGTTGTGGTCCTGCTTCACTCAGCTGCATCACCTGGCGGTCCTTTTGTGCCCAACTTTGGATGGAGTGCTTTTCTTTCCTTTGAAGAGACCATCCCAATAAATATTTTCCTTAGTATAGAAGAGTGAGTCTTTCAATTACTTTGTGATGAATGAAAATTTACTACAAGCTTTTCTAATCTCAACTGCATTCTTCTTAGAGCTAATAAAGTGTAAGAAGAGTCTGCTCAGGGTCGATCATTACATATTATAGCACTTTGGAAAATATTAATATTTACTGAGTGGTGACAATGTGCTAGTCACTGTTGTAAGAGCTTTACATCTGTGGTCCCCAATCCCTGCGCTGTGGACTGATACCAGTCCATGGCCTGTTAGGAACTAGGCTGCACTACCGCTGAGCTCCCCTACCCATCGCCCCATTGGTGGAAAAATTGTCTTCCATGAAATTTAGGTACCAGGGCCACACAGCAGGAGGGGAACGGCAGGTGAGCAAGTGATGCTTTGAAGCTTCATAGGTATTTACAGCTGCTCCCCATTGCTTGCATCACCGCCTGAGCTCCACCTCCCTGCCCCCACAACCCTGTCCATGGAAAAACTGTCTTCCATGAAACCGGTCCTTAGTGCCAAAAACGTTGGAGACTGCTGCTTTATATGTATTATTTCATTAATCTCACAATCCTGTGAGGTAGATATTCTCACAGGAAACTGAGGTGCAGAAGTGTTACATACCAATTTGTCCACAGCCACATAGCTAGTAAGTGGCAAAGCAGGGGTTTGCACTCTGGACATCTGATATCAGAGCCCAAGTTGTTATTTACTCACAACCTTACTGCCTATCATGTTTATAGGGGCCACTTGTTTCATTAAAGGAACTAAGTGCTTCAATATACATTTTTTGATTAAGGCTTTCTCTTTAGAGCCTACCACAAATGTTCAATAAATATTTATTACTTGAATAAACCAAAGATATAACTGCTTATTTTCAATGCTTCCCCTTCATTTTTTTTTAATGTGCCTTTTCCGTTTAGAAACAAGAATGGCAAACTAAAATCCCAAATACCATTCTTATTCATTTCTGATTAGAGATAATCTCATTCTGTGCTAAAAAGAACATTGTAGCTTAACAGTTTTTAACAGTTTTCACCTGCTCGCTTGCTTTCTTTCTCTCTCTCTCTCTCTCCTCTCTTCTCTCTCTCTTTCTTCTCTCTCTTCCCTCCCCTCCTCCCCTCCCTCCCTCCCTCCCTCCCTCCCTCCCTCCTCCTCCTCCTTCTCCTTCCTTCTCCTTCCTTCCTTCCTTCCTTCCTTCCTTCCTTCCCTTTCTTTCTTTCTCTCTTTCTCTCTTTTTTTTTTTGACAGAGTCTGGCTTTGTTGCCCAGGCTAGAGTGAGTGCCGTGGCATCAGCCTAGCTCACAGCAACCTCAAACTCCTGGGCTCAAGCAATCCTGCTGCCTTAGTCTCCTGAGTAGCTGGGACTACAGGCATGCGCCACCACGCCTGACTAATTTTTTCTATATATATTAGTTGGCCAATTAATTTCTTTCTATTTATAGTAGAGATGGGGTCTTACTCTTACTCAGGCTGGTTTTGAACTCTTGACCTGGAGCAATCCGCCCCCCTAGGCTTCACAGAGTGCTAGGATTACAGGCATGAGCCACCGCACCCGGCCTCACCAGCACTTTCTAAGTGAGCTGACTAAAGCTAAACAGAAATGTAAATAGCACTTTTTAGTATTTCACTGCATGGCCCTGATATCATACTTGCTTTGAAGGAGGAATTTTTTTGTAATAATATACAAGAATTAGGCACTTCTCTTTTTGACTTTTGGCAAAAAAGCAGCTCTACACTCCCTAGCAGCTCAAATCATCAATTATGTACCCTGCCAGCCCTGGGAACCAGATCTAGTCAAGCTCCCTGTGCCCATCAAAGCTTACTACTGTGTCTCTTAGTTTGTCAGATTTCTGACAACAAATTAACAGGAGGTCAAGCATATCAACAGATTATACATCCTAAGCAGCATGCTTGATTTGGAGTGAAAGGTTAATGGATATAATATGCTAACACACACAAAAAAATTATTGCAGTTTCTGATACTAAGATAGGTGAGTGGTTTTGGCATTATTTTGTGATAGGTAGGCCTCTTGCTTCAATTTATGTCACACCCTATAAACAATACTAAACAATTTTTTTAAAAGACACCAACACAATAAATGTATGAAAATAAAGAGAAATACAATCTTTGACTTTTAAATGAAGGAGTAATAAATTTTTAATAGCCTATGGTGAAAAAGCATTGTGGTAGGAATAAAATGATTATGAAAATCAAAGTCTATTAACATAGAAAACAATTCTTTATGGCAGAATTCAGGTATATAAACGGCCTCAATTTGGCAAAGAATCCCTGTGTGTTACAGATATATAACAGTACCAGAAAAAAATGTACACATGATAATTAAATGTGGATAACAAGCAAAAGTGAATTGAGAAGATAATGGTTTGAGTAGAATAAATTAAAAAACTATTTACAAAATTAAAAGGTCTTTTTACATGAATTGAATTTGTTGTTGGAGGAAAATCTTTTCAAGACTAAGAATCTGCTTCAATTATTTGCATTTTAATAAAAAAGATGCAATGGCATCATATGAAAACTGAATTAATGTATTTTAAAAATAACTTACATTGATGACTGATGAGGAAGCTGACAAGTTTAAACCCTCAAGATCAGCTATCAAGCTTGGAGAAAGAGCTGGTGTGGGAAGTACAACTGGAGTGGATACTGGGTTAACTGTAAAAAAAAAGGCCCAAATTAGCAAATATGCATGAAAATTTAATTCAAATTATTAAAAGCAGCATTTTTATTTTGTTAGTAAATCTAATTAAATTACTTTGATTAATAAATGTATGACAATTCTATTTAACATCTTGATTTAGTCAAGTTATTATCAAGTCATGGCAGTTATTAGTCTTAGCTTTCAAAACATAATGGCAAATCCTATAACAAAATAAGGATATAAATATCTTCAGTAATAGTTTTTGAAAATTTTTATCACATAACATTATCACTAACATTTATCACCCAGTAATTTCACTAAAAAAAAAGGTGAAGAAACATTTTTCCAGACTAATATAAAGAATAACAATAGCTTTCAAGAGAGTTCTCTAGTTGAGTTAGAAGTCTTGAAAGGATGTTTAAATCCTTTCTCTATTTTATTCTCCACTTTAATTAGGAGTCCAGGCTACCAATTCCCTTCTAATTATACTTTGTCAGCAAAAGCTATGTGCTAGATAGAAATGTATAACTGATTCTAAAACTGCCATGTACCTGAAAACTAATACCTGTAAGTTTAAAAATCTTTTAAAAATGCAAATCCAATCATATTACTCCCCTGCTCAAGACTCTTCAAAGGCTCATAATTGCCTACAAGATAAAACTCCAACTTTTTAATTAAGTTCACAAGGTCCTCTATGATCTAGCTTAAGCCCTGACCAAAAGTAATTCCTGTGATAATGGAAATGTTCTGTCTGTGCTGTTGATATGGTAGCCACTAGCCACATATGCCTAATGTGCTCTTGCAATGTGGCTAGTATGAGTAAGAAATGCATTTTAATCAATTTAAATTTAAATAGCTACCTGTGACTAGTGGCCACTATATTGGACAGGTCAGATCCAGCTTATCTCCAATTTTCAGCCTCTTCTGCTCTAGCTTTATGGAATAAAAGTTCCCAAGATCTTGTTCCATGTCTTTGAGACTTTTATATTCAAATCTGCCTAGACATACTTCTCTGTCTTGCTCATCTTGTAACCCCATTAAGATGCTCCTTAGAGTGGAAACACTCCCAGACTCACCTACAAACAGTCTTTGTAGGTGCCTTCTTTGTTCCACAGATACATACTTGGGCAAACTTCTATAATTGTCCTTCTCATATAACTCAAATTTGTGTTTTTATATATTTTTATTTCTACTAGTCTGCATGAACAAAATTTAAATTTAACTTATTAATTTTTAATGCTTAGTAATTTCTCAACTGTTGTAAAAAAAGTTTTAACTTCTGATAAATTCTCACTCCAAAATAACACTCTAAAAGGAATAACATTTACTTAATTTGACATCACTTCTCAAAGCACTTTTCTCATTTTAGTCTCACAATATCATGTGAATTAGGCAAAACAAATATTAATTCATAAAGTTAACACGAAGTATTTCTTGAACAAGACAACGAGAGAGACAAAAAAAGTTCAAGATGTGGTCCCTGTCTTCAAGTAACTTAAAATCTAATTTAAAAAACGATACACGCGATTAAAAAAGAAAAGTAACATACAATCTATAAATGATATTGCCAAAGAAGAAAACTTTCAAAGGAAGTCTTAAATAAGATCTCAGTATATATAGTAGGAAAAGCAGAGTAGAGACTGAGTAGAGGAGGGATGGGCCCTTGGTTCCCCCCTGCACTCACACAGTGCAGCTGAAGCATTGCTACAAAGCCCCAGGCTTCCCTATACCTACGCTGAAAACCACTGTACAGTTAGCAAGTACCACAGAGTCAGGAATGGTGTCTCACTGGGGATGGGGTGTAAGAGAAGGCTTCATGAACAGGAGTGAAGCCTGGTTTTTAAGTAAAGGTGGGATTTGAACAAGAGGGAAGGAAGAAGCCAGTTGAGCACTGGATGAGAGAATGCTGCAAATGAAGGCTGAGATGTGGGAAATTGGAAAACTAAGTCAGTTAAGCTTATCCTATAGAACAAGGGGAACTATTAAAAATCTACTAAACAGAGGAATGATATGATGAATATGATACTATAGGATGTTTAATCAGATGAGCATAGGGGATAGACTTAAGGAAAGAACAGTAGGCAAGGCAGTAAGGAAGGGTTTACAATAGTTTAGGAATGAGATGAAAATGACTGAAATAAGGTATTGGCAATGAGAAGGCTTAGAAAGGGCCTTTATATTAAAGACACCAAAAACGGAGGCACAGGGAAAGTAAGACTTGTCAAGCTTTATACAAGTGAATGGTAGAACCACTATAGAATTAGAAATTAGTTCTTCTAATTTGGATCACAATATGTTGCCATTAGATGCAATAGTAACTTTTCTAGTAGGTTCTAAAAATGTTTGTTCATTTTTTTGGTCCATCTATCCACCCACACATTCCTTCAAAATATTAGATGCCCATGTAAGAAATAAAAAAAATTCATAAGAAGCAGCCTCTGATTTTAACTATGACTTGGCTAAATACCATTAAGAGATAAGAGAAGAAAACACCATGAACAAGTTCTACTCTTGAAAAAAAAAGATGGGCTTTTAATATCATTTCAGTAGACAGAAGCTCTGGTATTAAGGAGATGATTATGCATCTGCTTACAGGTCTGGGAAGATGAAAGCTGGCACTGAAAGTTTATCCTAACATGAATTCTGAGGCCAGTTGACTGCGCAGAAGTATTTAATAAGTAATGTGTAAGAAACAACATGACTCTGTATGGATTTTCTTAATATCATGGCATACAAATTAAAATTTGCACTTGTCAAATTGGCAAAGGCAATTTTTAAGTACAAAATCCAGCATTAGTGAGGGTATAAGGAATTAGGCACTCTCATACTAATAATGTGTAAGGCGGTACAAAGCTTTCTCAAAGGCAATTTTAGACAAAAGAATTCTTCAAACTCTGCCCCAGCCATTCTTCTACTCCTGGAAATTTATCCTAAGGCAATAGCTATGGAGATGATGCAATAATATATTTACGATGATCTGGTTCATTGATTATGATAGCAAAAATAATGAAAACAAGTTAAAGTTTCAATAGTAAATCTGTTAAATAGAATTTATTACAATATAAAGAATAACACAGTTATTAAAGTTGTTAATATTTATAATATGAAAAAGAATATATACAGTAAATAGAGAAAGAAACAAATGATAAAATAGTAATCTAATTTGAAGGAAGTATCTGTATGAAGAGCATCTGAACTTTAATCCAGGGTGTTTAAATTATAATTCAATTTTATTTTTTTCTTTTCATTTTTAAAACTTTCTACAAAATACTTTTGTTTGCTAAAGTGTATTTAATACAGTAATTATTCAATTATTCTTCTGATCAAATTTTTGCTTTAAAATTTAACAAGCAAAACTTAATATATAATGGTTTAATATGTAGTTACTTGGGTTTTTTGTATTTGTTTTGGGCAGAGTCTCACTCTATCACCCTGGCTAGAGTGCAATGGCATCACTGTAGCTCACAGAAACCTCAAACTTCTGGGCTCAAGTGATCTCCTGCCTCAGCATCCCGAGTGGCTGGGATAACAGGTGCATACCGTCATGCCCAGCTAATTTTTCTATTTTAGTAGAGATGGAGTCTCCCTCTTGCTCAGGATGATTTCAAACTCCTGACCTCAAGCAATCCTCCTGCCTCAGCCTCCCAAAGTGCTAAGATTATTGGCACCCAGTCAGTTATTTGTTAAGTGTAATTTGCTGCATTATCATCATCGTCACTAACTTTTTCTTTTCTTTTTTTTTTTGAGACAGAGTCTCGCTTTGTTGCCCAGGCTAGATTGAGTGCTGTGGCATCAGCCTAGCTCACAGCAACCTTAAATTCCAGGGCTCAAGCAATCCTTCTGTCTCAGCCTCCCGAGTACCTGGGACTACAGGTAAACACCACCATGGCCAGCTGATTTTTTTCTATATACATTAGTTGGCCAATTAATTTCTTTCTATTTATAGTAGAGACAGGGGTCTCGCTCTTGCTCAGGCTGGTTTCGAACTCCTGACCTCGAGCAATCCGCCCGCCTCGACCTCCCAGAGTGCTAGGATTACAGGCGTGAGCCCCCGCGCCTGGCCACTAACTCTTATAAAATGCTTATCATGTATGTATCAGGCACAGTTTTAAATGCTTTTACATATATCAACTCATTGGATAAAATGACCCAAGAAAGTTTTAATATGATCCCAATTTTATAGATAAAACAACTAAAGCACAGAGAGGTTAATAAATGGTCCAAGGTTACACAGCTAGTAAGTAATAATAATAGAACTGGGATTCAAACTCAGACAGCATAGCTTTATTGTCCTCTTAGCCACCCCATTGTAACTGCCTCAACCATAATTCATTCCACAATGTGATAGCACATATCATAAGCTTATCTGAAACATGATTATTGTTGGCTGACAGAAATTTTAAAAGGACTTCACTGTTAGTTGTACTCATAGAGTAATAACACAGGCTTACATTTCCTTTAAAGGACACCAGAATACGAATACTGCTTTATAATCATCCAATAGACGACACATGGTATGGGATACTAAAAGATATTTTCATTTTCAGAAATATAAAATATGCCTGAAAAACTGAAAGCATATTGCTACCTCCAAGTCTAACAATACATTGTTAGATCATATATTATCCTAGGGCAAATATTTTCTCATGTATTATTAACTAACCCCCATGAAATTAACTAACTCCATAATCTAAAGGAAATGTAGAAACTTTATAGTCATTTTTTTAAAATTTTACAAATGAATAAAATGAGACACAAAGAAATTAACTCACTAAACGGATTGAAGGCACACCACGACCAATGCCTGCATTCATGGTAACATCCCCTCCACAGATATAGTAAGGAAATAGCACGTTACTCAATTATAGAACTGTTTTGTAGGAGAGCCAATCTACTGCTAGGGTTGTTAACTGTGCTGCTTTCTTAGAGGCACAATCATTATTTCTGCTGGTAGCAAGCTCTTTCCCTCCTCCATGTCTTCACCAGGCATAGTATATAGGTACCCTGCTACCTAACAGCATTCTGTTTGCATGTACCTTTTTCATTTCATCTATAATGTGGCAATTTAATCGCTGAATTATCTGTTTTTCCCATTACACATTGAGAGTTCCTTGGGTAGAGACAACATTGTATTTATTTAGAATATCCAGCATGTAGCATGTTACATAGATCGTATCAAATATTCAACAAATATCTCCTGAATGAAGAAATGAATAAATCCAGTATTTGCAGTTTTCCTGGTATGCAGTACACACTTAGCAAACAACCTATGTGGATTATGATGTACCTCTTAAATAAAACATAAGGAATGTGTCTGCCCCTCCTTCAAGATTAATCTAATTCTCACAGCTGAGAACTCAAGCCACTGGAGAGTGACTTTTTAGTGTTTGATCAACAAACTGCTTGCCATGGATAATGGCGAACTACTGTAGGCCAATGAGAAGCATACAATGAAGTCAGTAGCCCTCTGCTTGTCTTTACCTCTACACTCAGATCATGCTTCTTCCACAAGGCCTTTGTAGCTTTTCAATTAGTTTTTGTCTCCCTGTGTCTTCATTTGAATCTTTATTTTATCTCTTATATAAATAGTTACTTGTTCAAGTATCTGTGGCCCTGACTAGATTTTAGTTTCTAGAAGGGAATGACTAAATTCTATTAATCTATTACAGCACCTAGCAAGTACTTACAAGATAATCCACAAACACTTGCTAAATTGACTTGTTAACAAGAGTTTCAAGTGTCATTTCTGATAAATGCAGGACTATAGAATATTTTCAAAGAAATTGCACTTGAGTAATAAAAACAAGGAGAAATACCATTAATATATCCTATGTTGAGTTAAAAAATATGTTGAGATAAATGTTCCCTTAAAATTAAAAAGGCCGGGCGCGGTGGCTCACGCCTGTAATCCTAGCTCTCTGGGAGGCCGAGGTGGGCGGATTGCTCGAGGTCAGGAGTTCAAAACCAGCCTGAGCAAGAGTGAGACCCCGTCTCTACTATAAACACAAAGAAATTAATTGGCCAACTGATATATATATAAAAAAAAAATTAGCCGGGCATCGTGGCACATGCCTGTAGTCCCAGGTACTCGGGAGGCTGAGGCAGCAGGATCGCTTGAGCCCAGGAGTTTGAGGTTGCTGTGAGCTAGGCTGACGCCACGGCACTCACTCTAGCCTGGAGAACAAAGCGAGACTCTGTCTCAAAAAAAAAAAAAATAAAAAAACTTCACATTTAAATTCTTAAAAACTTTTTTGTCTTTATAAATAAAAACACTTTTAAATAGATCATTTTACAGATTTATCTTTATAACCTTAGTTTATAAAGACTCAGCCACCCGAGTAGCTAGGACTATAGGTGTGCACCACCATATCTGGCTCATTTTTCAATTGTTTTGTAGAGACAGAGCTCACTATGTTGCTCAGGCTGGTCTTGAACTCCTGGCCTCAAGTGATCCTGCTGCCCTGGCCTCCCAAAGTGCTGGTGTTAAAGGCATCAGCCATTGCACCTGGCCTGCTTTACTGTTATTCTTTTATAATTTTAAACTTTATAAATTGTGAATGTTGCATACACACACAAAATATTCGAGTGCCACAGAATGATACAAAATATAAAATTAAAGTCTTGTTCCCTTTTCTGTTCCCACTTTAGTCCTACATCTTAAAGGGGCCAGCGTTGCTGAGGTGGAAGGATCGCTTGAGGACAGGGGCCGCTGGTGGCTCACGCCTGTAATCCTAGCTCTCTGGGAGGCTGAGGCGGGCGGATTGCTCGAGGTCAGGAGACCCCGTCTCTATTATAAATACAAAGAAATTAATTGGCCAACTAATATATGTAGAAAAAATTAGCCAGGCATGGTGGCGCATGCCTGTAGTCCCAGCTACTTGGGGAGGCTGAGGCAGGAGGATCGCTTGAGCCCAGGAGTTTGAGGTTGCTGTGAGCTAGGCTGACGCCATGGCACTCACTCTAGCCTGGGCAACAAAGCGAGACCTGTTGAGCTAGGCTGACGCCATGGCACTCACTCTAGCCTGGGCAACAAAGTGAGACTCTGTCTCAAAAAAAAAAAAAAAAAAAAAGAAAACACAAAACAATTAGCTGGGCATGGTGGCAAGGTGCCTGTAGTCCCAGCTACTTGGGAAGCTGAAGCAAGAAGATCACTTGAGCACAGGAGTCTGAGGTTGCAGTGAGCTATGATGATACCACTTCACTTTAGCTTGGGTGGCAAAGCGAGACCTTATCTCAAAATAAAAGGAGGGAGGAGGGCTGGAACTAACCACTATTAACTCTTTCCTCTGTAGCCTTCCAGAAACTTATACATGTATAATTGTGTTTGTGTGCAGGATATATTTTTATTTTACTCCTTTTACACACAAGTAGAATCATGTTCTTTCTACATTTTTTTTTTTTTACTTATCATACTTTGAACATATAATTACATAATCAGTACATATAGATTTGCCTCGTTTTTTGCAAATGGTTGCATTACCCTGTTGGCAGACATTACATTTATTTTCAGGATTTTGCTATAATAAACGATGCTGTGATGAAATTGTTATATATACCTTTACATATTTTATTAACTGAACCAACTCCCAGGTGCTATTCTAAGCACTAGGAATAGTAGTGAGCAAGACAGACAGGGATCCTATTCTCATGGAATTTATATCTTAGTTGGGAGAAACAGATAATAATGAAGTAATGAAAATATTTAAGATCATTTCAAATTATGAAAATGCCATTAAGACAATGAAGAGTGATTAGTAAAGATATATGCTATGGTCTGAACATTTGTGTCCCTCCAAAATTCATGTTGAGACCTAATCTCTATTGTGGTGGTATTAATAGGTGGGGCCTTTAGGAGATAATTATGTCATGAGGGCTCCACCCTCATAAATGGGATTAGTGCCCTTATAAAAAAAGGCTTGCAGGAGCCTGTTTTCTCCATCTGTCACAAGACGAGAAAAGAACTGCTAGGTCAAAGGCTATGTGCCATTTAAATTGTGATAGATATTGCTAAAATGACTCCAAAAAGCTGTACCTATCTCTATTTCTATCAAAAGTATATGTGTCTGTTTCTTCAAAGCTTAGCAATACTGGATAATATCAAATCTCAAAATCTTTGCCAATATGTAAAACATGATCCAAATTTGGCTTCAATTCTATTTTTAGTTTCTTTATATTAAATATTTCTCTGTATTATATATTTTAATTTCTCTATATTAAGAATTTGCCATGGTTTTTGGAGACATAGAATGGATCTATGACAGAATAAGGCAACCTAAAAACATAACTCACCCCCAGCATGGAAAAATGCTATCAAAAAATGTGAGTAGTTTAATATTCATAAAATTTTACTTTATTACTCTTCCCTGGTGCAACAAAGTTAGTTCTACTATCTCTTTTTCACAATGTGGGAAGATTTAAGTGGAGGGGGCAAATATATATCTTTGCACACTTGGGTGAGTTAATTTGTAGGATTCTGAATTCTTAGATTTGCTGGGACAAAGATTTTTTGCAGTTAAAATATCGATAGGTACAGCCAAACTGGCCTCAAAAGGCTTTGTAACCCATTTCTATTTTTACCAAATTGTGGCAAGTGGAAGATGGTGATGTTCGTTACATTTCTCTTTATGTTCCTAATTCTCTATCTCCTTACGTTTGAAGTGTCAATCCTCATAATCAACATTTCACAATGTAAAAGCTGTAAGAAATAGGTAATTATTTAACAAAACAAGTATAAATTACTAAAGTAAAAGATATTAAACTGAATTTGGTGCACTTTTATTTGACCATCTATATTTATTCGTGTGATACAAAATAATATGCTGAATAGATGAAAGATACTTATACCACTGATTTCCAAAATTTTCTTGACTTATTCATCTACAAGACTTTCACAATAGATGTTGATATATTTTGGGACATGTAAATGAAAGGTGCTATAAAAATAAAAACCACTCGTACTAAACATGAAAGAAAAATTTTAAATTATAACACTTACAATCATCCAGATCTAGAAGTGAAACATCTTTGGTGAGAGGAATTCTATCTTGCTTTGTTTTTTTTTCTTTCTCCTAGAAAATAACAAATATTTCATTTATTATATGTTCTGTTTTTCAAATCAATGGAGTAGTCCATAACATTCCAAAGCAAACATTTTTTTTCTGCTTAGTCTTACTACCAAACAAAGTAAGCTTCTCTACAGTTACATGAAATGTTTTTCTGAACACAATTTGTCTCAGTTAACATATAGTATTTCTTCCCCACTATGCAATTTGTTAATTATTTTCAAATATTTTGTGTTTAAAGATTATAAAGTATCTTCAGAAGAAAACTGAAAGGTGAAGTAATAATTATTTTATAATCTGCCAACTTCCTGCTAACATAAAAATGTAAAGTGGCTCTTTGGTAGAATGTACACATTCTTGAAAATAATTTTAAACAAATTTACTTTTAAGAAAAAGAAACGCTCAAATAACATCTGCGTAGCCCTGAGATTGTTGCTAGGCTTGTGATACGTTAGGCTTTCCTGATGTAGTTTGTAATAGGCACTGTACTAGGTAGTTTATATGTCAATACTGGGTTCTGTCAGACCTCTGCCAAAAGTATTCATTAAAATCTATAAATGACATTCCCAGGCTCTTGCTCTTTAGGGTTGAAATGGATTCACTTATTTTTCTCCAGTGTTTTGTAGAAAGTATAAATATTTCAAAACATATCTGCACATAATTAGGGTTTCCCCGCACCACAGATTTGCTTATTCAGTTTACCATACTTATAAACTGTGTATAAACATGAACTAGAAGACAGTGTTCCTAAGCCTGAGGTGTTCACAGTTTGGTTAGAGATTCAGAAAAGAATTGTAAATCTTTAGAAAATAAAAAAGTATAAATTAACTGTAGTCCTGAGTAGCATTATAAACAACTAAAGACCAACAATGAGTAGGGTGTTAAATAGATGTATTTGGGTCAAAGTTTCTTATCCTTATAATATGTACTGTGTTTTACATTAAATCTTCTCATATGAAAAGCCAAAACTTAAGTTTTTACAAAAATATCTTTGTTCATTCATTCAATGGGTATCAGAATCTGTGCTAAGCAATGGAAATAACAGCTAAGACAGACACAGTCCTGCCTTCAAATAACTTATAATCTACGACAGGAATTTATATCTTATTGTTCATGTGAATTATTATAATATTTTTGAAGTATTCCTCTAGCCACAGAAAGATACGACTGAAACAAAAGGTATATTACCATCATTTAAAGTCTACACAGTGTTAAAGCTCTCAAAACAGTGGACATACGTTAACAAGAGCATTGCATAAAATTATGCATTAGGTAACATTTTTTTTTGAATGATTTAAATTCTGCTTGGCTTTTCCCTTATGCCAATACTCAGAAGATTATTTTCAAGGATCATATAGTAATATATACTAACACACTAACTAAAAAAAACAACATTTATTTTCTTCTTCAAAATAATTATTTTTTGCCACCAAAAAACGCCAAATCATCTATGTAAGTTCTGGTTTTCATTCCTTATTTAAAAACAAAACAAACAGTATTTGTCTTTCTCTCCACTCCTCAAATGAATAACAATGTCTAGGACTGGAGAAAAAAAAAAACAGAAGAAATGTTAGTTTTGAGGCTGAAATTTAAAAGTGGTAAGTAAATGAAAACAGGTTCAGAATGAAAATGCCACTGTAACTAGGATATCATTCCTATGAAGAAAGAACATATAACAAAAAGAGTTTATCATCATGTGACTTATCAAAACGCTATGCTGAGCACAATGGGTGTAGCTTCCCATAAGCTACAATGGTGCATGACTGTCTTTATGGAACTGTAACCTCCCCACCTGAAAAATTAGAAACCTATCAAATCAAGATAAAGTTAAAGCTGAAGGCAAGTCTATACCTTATTTTCTACTTCACAGCCAAGAGTGTGTAACAATATCTATTAAATACACATCAGGTCACATACAACACAGAACAGAGCTGCATGTGAAATTGGCATAATCTCTTATTAGAAGCCTAGAACAGAGAGAAAAAAAGCTTTCAAAAGGACAGAATTTCATTGACTTTCTGAGAATAGCAAATACCCAGTGACTGAAATACAACATTAGCAATAGATAATGGTCATTTCTACTGAATTGAAAAAGCCTTGCATTCCAAATCAAGGCTATAAAATGCTTCGTGATGTGTTTGGTATTCCTTTCTTATATTTCATTTTTCATTTAAAAAAATCTATAGTAAGTTCAAAACATTTTCATACTTAAAGGATCTACTATAAAAATAAAAATCTGAATTCTAAACAAAGAAGTTAAGAGCTCTATTCCATCAAACATTTCTCCATTTGCAATTCATCTTGGTAATAGAGACAGAACCTGGGTAAATGCATATAGGACTTGAGGCAGGAGATTTTTCTTGCTCAATGCATAATTCATGTGCTCCGCCTGCAAAGTGTGTAAAATGAGAATTTCACACCGCAGCATGAGCCATGGAGCTGCAGAGAAAAGGCAGATGAAATCATATTTTACTGTGTGAATTTTATTTCTTACCCTCCCAATATTTATACAAAACCATCATTGACAAACCAAACACACTGACAGATCACCCACTGTTTCCATTGTGTTAGTACTTGAGAAGAGATCAGGCAGAAAGATAGACAATTTGTTTTTGTATATTTTTTTAAATAGAGGATTAGGTTTTTAACAGCTGAGTGCCTGTATTAGACTTTTATAAGGACAACAGTAACTGATCTTAAAATCTCACCACAAAAAATACCTAGTTATCAATTCATCACCCTCAAATCTCCATTTTGTTTCTCTGGTATTCAATTATACACCTCAACACATCAACATTTTCAAAATGAAATACGAAGTCACAGGGTTAAGAAACTGATTTCTATTTAATGTATTTCATTTCAAATAATAAATAAAAGATCCTGGAAATACTTACTAAGCCCCAAATAATACAACTGAAAATATGTAATAATATATCTGAAAAGATTTTTTTATGTATTATGCATGTTCACTTTCATGCTGATTTAAAAAAAAAGGCAAGTAGAAAAAAAGATCTGACATGACAAGAATCAAATATGTATCATAAGAGGAAACCATTATAAAGAGGTTTGAAATTTAAAACTATAAGACAGAATAAGCAGTATGTAAAGTTTGGCAACCCATACTGTGCCTTGAAATCAACAACAATTCAAGTCTAATTTCTAGCCTCACAGGGCAAGATATTTGCATGAAATATTTTCAATTAGAATTACCAACCAAGGACAATTTAATGACTCTCTTTCCTTCAAGTCAACTGACAAATCTGATTTTAAAAATCTGCGGCTTACACTTAAATTTGTGCTTTAAAACAAAAGTACACTGCTAGTGAATTGAGACTTCTTTATAAGTTAAAAAGAAGTCTAAACCACTAAAACAAATCTTTCCCTATTAGATTATATCTAATTGAAAAAGAAAGCTTGCTGCATGGCATTCACTTCATTTTAAAGGTCTCAACTGAAATTAAATGATATTTCTGTTTTAGAGAACTTAAAATGTAAACTAAATTAGGAGTGACATAAATTGAGAGAGCAAGGCTTTGAATTGTTAAAATAAAAACCAATTTTCACAAAAGTCATGCAATTGCATCATACATAAATACTAGTAAAAACAATTAAAACTTGTTTCCTATTTCTCAAACAGAACATAAAAGCAATCAGAAAATAGTTTCTTTCACTCTTATCCATGATCTAGTTCATCCCACATGCCAAAATTACTTTATCCCCAAGAATCTTTCAAATAAAAGATCTTTATCCCCAAGATCTTTTATTAAGGAAAATTTTAACACTTACTGACATTCAACAAACACAAGTCATAATACCAGTGATGGTCCTTACAGCACTTAAGAGATTTAATCCATTTCTTTGCACTTCTCAAAAGGGATTAACAAAGTTCTGAGATATGTATAATCTGAGTTAAAGACAACTGGCAAGAGCATCTCAAACACTCCTAGGTATATATAGATGGTTCTAATTTTTTCACAACTGGTGCATATATTCATCTTCATTTTGATTCAAATAGGGAAATGCTTTTAATATTAAGTGTTACGAAGTGCAAGTACATTAAATATATTTATTTCACATTGATTATTATGCTTTATAAGCAGTTTGTATAATTAAAACATGAATAGATACAAGGAATTAGATAAAAGTTATGATAACTTACAATCATGATTTAAATGTTTTACCATTATAATCATAAATTAAATCTTTAGCAGTTGGTACACAGACATTGCAGATATAACTAGAATACTACATTCACAGACAAGATATGAATAGTAGACTAATGAGGTGACAGCTGAAATAACTATAGTATGTAGAAGCACTCTAATATACTGGCTAGTTTTAAGAACACTGAAGCCTAGGTTCAATACAGGAAAAAAACCCTGGAAACCTTAAAAACTAAATAAAATTATCACCATCTGCTCAACATAATTTTAACCACCAGCAGAATATAACTTAATTATATTGGTAAAAAATAGGATAAAGTGATACAAATGTGAGTCCCTTCCTGACACAATGTGGTTTACATTACTGATTCATCTTTCCACTCTTCTATATAAAAAATTTTTCCCTTTACTCTCTATAAAGCATGTTGAAGCATTTAAAATATGGAGTTACTAAAAATAATTTTGTTACAGATATTATTTGGGGAAAAAGAATTACTTCTTTAAAATGACTATATTCAAAATATTTAGTTTAAAATATTTCAGAAAAGGACACCTGCATGTAAAAATATGCTAATCCATCAAAATAACTGTAACTTTGGTTCTTACTGACAAAAATCTGACCCCAAATGAGGACATCTCCCAATGAATAACACAAACAAACACACCTGACACCTGAATGCCTAACTATGGTCTTGTGCCTCCTGGACATGCTGGGGCATGGTGTTGAATGGCAAACACTTTAGGAACATAAAACAATCAAGCAGTGGTTCTCACTCTTTTGACAGTCCCTACACTAATCACAAGAGTAATACCATATCATCAGTAACACTTTTCAGTCCCTGCAGGCATTCTCAACCAGGAGAAGTGGAGGGATCACACTCTGATATGAGGCCAAGAAAGAAGAAAGGCATAGAAATAGGAAAGCATATAGCATGTTGCAAATACTCCATTGGGATTAGAACACAGGGTGGGTTAAGACTAGGAAGGCAAGTTCGGACATGCTCTAATATTAATCTGGCCACTGCAAAAAAGGATTGGGAGTGGGAAAGCACTGGTCTGAGGGTGACCAATGACAATGGTCTATGAAGCTGATAAAGGGCTGATCTATATAGAATGGTAGATTATGGCAGTGGAAATAAGAAACAGACATGAGAAATAATATACGGAATCTACAGGACTTGGCAACTACCTAAACATATAGAATGAGAGAGGAGTCAAAGAGAATTCTGGGGCTATAAATCTTGGAGAATGGAAAGAATGCTGGTACCAAATTGTAAAGGATGTCTTCCAGGTGTATTAGGTTTGGAAAATCAGTAGACCCAGAGAAGGCTAAGAATTTGGTCTGAATTTGGGAAGAAAAGCTGGAGCTATTGTAGAAATTGAGAAATGTTACCATGGAAGCAATTCACGTAAATGTTTTAGCTGAAGCTATAGGAGTAAATGAGACCTCACAACAGGAAAAATTTAGAAGAAAAAAAAGGGGACTGAAGAAAAATTTATTCACATCAATTAATATTTTGAAAAACTAATGTATACTAAGTATAATCTGGGGTCAATGTGCACAGTTGGGTGTCAGAAGGGGATAAAAAGTGAAGCAATCAAAAGAATGAAAGATCAAAGAAGTAAGAACAGAAGGGACACAGAGTTTCAAGTATTAGGGGAATAGTCATACAAAAAGATCAAGAAGGATAGATAATACCTAAGAGAAGGCTGCTGGGTTTGGGGAAGGATCATAGTTGACTTTTCAGAGAATAATATCTACAGAGAGGGATAGAGGTGGAAACCAATTTATAAGGGACTAAGAAATACCTGGGTTAAGAAACAGCAGATGGAGGATATTTAGATTATTTTTTTCAAAATTCACTCTAACACTGCCACTCTCCCACTACCTGCTCTCTCCCTCTCTCTTTAAATGCTAGACTTGCATGCTTTGGTTGGCAGAAGAGGAATCAGTGGAGAAAGAGACTAGAGGTTGCAAAGGAGGCAGATGATAATTAACAAAACAAGGCCAAAGGAAGCAGGACTTATTCTTGGCTAAGTGGATGGATGGGGATCACTTACTCTTTACACTGATCTTTTTCATTTGATTTTTTTACCATAACACTTGAAGGAAGTAGGGTAGGTATTAGCATTTCTACTTTGAAGATGAGGAAACTGAAGCATAAAGGTATTATCTCCAAACACATAGTACATTATACTTATCTCACAAGACTACCACAAAATTAACTGTTTTGAAAGCCATATATTCAAGGTATCCTCTAGGTCTTATTTGCATGCTTAATGCCCCCAAAACACATTGTCCAGATGAATAAAAAAGGAAGAGAAAAAGTAAAAGTATAGATTTAGTTAGGCTACAGATTTGAGGCATATGAATTTTCAGCACTAACATATTGTCATACTAAATTAAAGTAAAGCACCCACACCATCTGCCTTCATTATTCATAATTTAGAGCAGAAGCCATAATACTTGGTGCAAGGAAGACTTTTCCACAATTATAAAGTTGCCTATTATTAGAAATTGGTATCCTTGTAATTACATGGTATACTCCAAATCATTCAGAAAGAAACAGAAAGAGATAAGTAGTCGTGGTATCCAAGATATTCCAATTGCTAAACTAAAGCAATCTCTGCCACCGCAACCCTATCTGCTTACTATAGAGGAAAAGGAATTCTAATATAGAGAAAAGAAGCCATCTAAGGAAAACACATGGATACAAAATTATCAACGATGTGAGTAAAACCTGAATTTCTCAGGGGTCTTGGCTCATTGCAACAGTTTGAATTTTTTACACTGATGTTCTATAGTAAAATATTTTCAATTATTAAGAGATTTAATCTGATCATTCAAAGTCTTTGACAAAGGAGAAACAAATTGAATCACTGACCTGGGGTGCCACTGTAGCTTTTTAAAGGGATCCTAAAGTTCTGCTTCTAATACTATAGAGGCACTGAGGTCCATAATTTTTCAACCATTACGAAAACTTCATAAGAATAACTTGCTTTAATTCCACCCACTTGACATGTGCCAATTTCTTGTTTTGTCATTTAAAAAACACGGATTTCTTATTCTGGATTGTATTTATTATCAATTTTTAAAGCTCTTTATTTTAAATAACATTTTAAGCTTCTTTGTAATTTGATATAAGTAGGAAATAAATGTATATGATAAGTTTTTATAGAAAGCCAGATTAATAAACCATAAAATCTTTAAGATTTTAAGTGAATTTCTGAAAAATGAAAATCTTGAATTGTATGTTATATACAGACACAAGTTTTAAATATAAACTGAAGTTTAAGATAGGTTTTACTACATATAAGAATATTTGAAATAAAGTAAGACAAATATTAACCAATTTTAAAAATATGATTATTCTTTAACAATAAATCTCTGGATGGGGAAGAGCAATTGTCTACTTCAATGAATTTCTTTTCATCTTTGCCTACTCGGATGACATACTGAAAAATTTAAAGTTAATTAGAAATAACAAATACCAAAAAAAATACTGGGTTAAGAAGAAACTGAGGGCTGGGCAAGGTGGTTCATGCCTGTAACCCTAGCACTCTGTAAGGCCAAGGCAGGAGGATTGCTTAAGCTCAAGAGCTCAAGACTAGCCTGAGCAAGAGTAAGATCCCATCTCTACTAAAAATAGAAAAATTAGCCTGGTATCATGGCATGCACCTGTAGTCCCAGCTACTTGGGAGGCTGAGGCAGGAGGATTGCTTGAGCCCAAGAGTTTGAAGTTGCAGTGAGCTATGATGATGCATTCTACCTGGGGTGACACAGTGAGACTCTCTCTCAAAAAAAAGAAACAATTGAAATCAATGAAAGGTAAGTTTGATTGTATTTTCAATACATGGAATAACACAGTTAATATATAAAACTACTCTAATTAAAGCCTAGCATCAATATGATCCATTATAGGAAGTAGTTACAATTAAAGACCAGAAAGATAATTATTATTAGGTCTGAATTTTATATTAATAGCTACATTTTTACAATTTAGACTTTTATTTTTTCCTGCTAAGCAAAGTTCAGTGTTACAAAAGTTATAGCAAAAAGCATTACCATTGTATTACATAAGTGGTTCTTATATTTGTTTTTAAACAAATGGCTACTATAAATTTTTATTAACTAGTTATAGAATGTACATACTTTAAGGTTTTAAAAACATTCTGTTATCCAAAAGGTCTAATATTTTTTAAAGGCTAATAGTCTCAATTTCTTAAGATGTATGTACATTTATATTTCTTTGCTCAATACTTTATTTTTGTGACTTCCTTTTACTTCCCCTTTAGCAAAAGCCTCCCTTGTCACTACCTAGCCAAGAATAAAACAGGCCATATGTGTAACACTGAAATCTCTGATTTCAGTGGCAAGGGATGAGGTTAAAAAAAAAAAAAAGATTTTAACTTTCCTACAGAGTTTAGTTGTAAGAGAAAGCATTATCTAGAAAAAATAAAATCACAGGTGCACATGACAATGGTGCTGTTTATTTTCATTGCGTGAGAATATCTACCTTCAATTATTAATATAACAAATGTATAATCTCTTACCTTAGTGACTCTTCTGGATTCAGACTCACTTTCAGAGTCTGATTCAGATTCAGAATCTGAAGAACTTTCTTCTGTTGAACTAGATTCAGCATTGGAAGAATCTGAAGTTTTAGATTTTTCATTGTCCTTCTCCCCATCTTTAGAATCACTGTTCATAATGAAAAATTTTGAAATATCAACTTTGAATCTTTTATGCAAATAAGTAGTTTATATAAGACAATAAAAATGGTTTTAAATTCTAGACTAAATCAATAAAATAAGGTAGTATTATCTATAACCAAATAAATCAGAACCCATTCAGACTCAATTATATCATGCCATATACACTTCGAATATAGAAAGTCATAACACTGAATATCATCAATAACAAAAAATAATTAATATTAAATGCTTGATTTACCAAGAATTAAGTGCTATAACAGTAATAACTTCAAAGATACTTAGGACAATTTTTAAATGCTGTCTCAAAATATTGTTTATTAATAAATTTAAATATCTATATATCTACTTTTGCTAAGAAAGACTTGAATTTTCAAATTTTTCTGTCCAAGAAAATTACTTATACAAGTTTCCAAATGTCCTTAAACACATTTATGACAAAATGTTAACCAGTTTGAAGAGAATCCTATTGCACTGCCTTTTAAACATGTAAGCAAATCAAATAGAAGCTTTTGAAAAACCAAATGATCACATGTAAGTGCTTAACACTATGAATTCATTTGTTCATTCAACCACTCAACAAATATTTATTGATTATTGACTACATGCTAGCACTATGTTAAGTGCTAAGGATAAAAATGGTTAGTAAGACACAGATGATCTTTGTGTTTACCTTATAGTGTCTACAGCCCATTGCAAGATACAGAGTAGTATGGTGGCACTGACAATACAGTATGGTAATAAGTAATAAAGTATAGTGTGCGTCAGAACATTTAGAGAGGCACCTAAACAAACGTAACCAAGATAAGGAATGCTTCCTGAAGGAAGAAACTTCAAAGTTGAGAAATAGGAATAAGGCAGGCAGATGGATGAGAGGCACTTCTCCAAGGAGAAGGAATAATATGTGAGATGGCCAAACAAGCTTCTCTCAGAGGATGAGAGATAACCTTGTAGTGTTTTATATTTTCCCTGAAATTGAAGGTCTAGTTCTCTCTGCTATGTGTGTATGTTTTAAGAATGTACCTTGGGCCAGGCAGGATTAGACATTTCATACCAATCATACCAATTATCTAATTTAGATGCACTCTTCCTGGGTACATTATTATCCCATTTGCAATGATGAAATTAATACTCAGGAAGGTTAAATAACTTGCTCAAGGACACAGAACAGGAGAGGCAGAATTGGAATCTGAACTCAAGCCTGTCTTACACCAAGGTCCATATTTTCCCTCTATGTCACACTATCTCCTTTCAAATGAAAATACTTTTGAATGTAAAATTCAAATGTAGTCATAAATAGTTATTACTAAAGGGTATTTTTTGAAGATGTTTAAAACTTATTAAGAGCTTAAAAAACTATCATACTGGTAAAGTTAAAAACATTCTAAGAGACAGGCAGAAAAACACAAGAGAGGAAGAGAAGTGAGGCAAGGGAAGAATCAATATTTCCTAGAATTGATTTTTGTGGAGGAAATATGACTGGTATTTATTAAAAATGGAGCCATGGTAACATCTCAGAGCACATGTAATTATATTTGAAGACTGAAAAATATGTTGTTTTTCTTTTCCCTAGCAAAGAATGGCAATTTATCATCCCCAATTCACTGGTTAAAACATGTACTTAAAAATTATACGGTTTAGAATCTATTTGTGCTTCTCTTTGGTGTAATAAACAATTCTTTTAAATTCAAACACAAGTAAAGAGAAAAGTCCATTTCTGAAGAATAAAATAATGAAACTAATTTAAGATATGATTATACATTTCTAGCATACTAACTTTTGCTATCTGAAAAAATATTTCATGTACTGCCTTTCTTCCTAGAAACAAGATACATTGTGTAAGTCATATCATCACAGATACTCTGATATTAAACCAGAAGTACAGAATTTCTCTCAAAGAAAAGGCTATTATAAACCAAGTAGCTCCTCTGCTACAACAAGCAAATGATTCTAAATATATTTAACTTCTAGCTTTTAAGATGAGATTTTAAAGGTAAAAGTGTTACTTTATTATGCATCACTCAATTTTGATGGTAATTATTGTTTACCTTACTGCTTAGAGTTTCAGATGTTAATCTAATGAAAAGAATTTACTGGTAACTAGGTTTTTAACTTTGCAATGATGAAAAGCCTGTATTAATTTAACCTACAGATTTCATTTGTTCTGAACAGGAAAAACAATATAAATCACTTTTAAAATCATTAAATCCTGACTTAAATTAATAAAGTCATAATTAGGGCATTATGCTGTGTTTGTTATGGAAGTGGCAGGGCGAGCTGCTTTAATTACTGTCTGTAATAAAAGGAGCAGAGAGCGTACTGCGCCCCAATCAGTGCTGTCAGCCACGACTGAGCTGAGCTGCAAGCTCATCAAGTGAGCGGGCAGCAGGCTCCCAGGAAAGGGCCATCGTGTCGGCAGAGGCCACTCGCTGACGGCAGTGGAGAAAACAGAGTCACACAATCCAAGATATTAGCCCCAATTACTCCAAATTTTAATGACACTTTAATACATGATAATGCTGTTGATAATGGGAGACCTTAAAAAGTGCTAACACTTAAATATCTTATGACCGTCTTCCTTCACAGCCCTTGACTCTAATATTTGGATCATAATCTTTTTAATGTAACATTATTTAGAAAAATCAATTGTCTTAGTTACATAATGGCAAAGTGTTGAAGGATTTAATTTTAGCCCTCAGCAAAACTGCTACAAAAGCTAATTAAGTGTTTCATACCTACTGCTTGATCACTTAACTCAGCCTTCCAAGGTTATACCAATTTTCAAAATGTAATCCCAAGATTTGTTCAAGTTCAAAATGAAAACTAAGCATTGTAAGTAGGAGAATAATGTGAACTACTAGCATTTCAAATTAACTTAAAAAAGATTTAATATCTGTTTGGGAAAGAATACACATAGTTCTTCTCCTACTCTATGAATTAATGGGAAATATTAGCCTGAGGGATATACCACAGAATATTTTTTGAAGGAAATTCTGACAAAATAATTTACCTTTTTCCTTTGGGTTTCGAGTTCCTCTTGGCTGTTCTTTTGTTCTCTACTCTTGACTCACTTCCACTCTCACTCTCCTGCCCACTGGAGGAGTCTTCACTGCTGTCCTCACTGCTGTCTCCTTCCTCCCCACTTTCTCCTTGTTCTCCACTTTCACTTCCAGATTCACTCTCTGAAAAGCAGAACCAGATGTGCTTTGATTTATAGCCATTTAATTATACATAAGGACACCTGTAACCATCAATATTCATCACAAATGAAACCAGGTGTTGAATTTTATTTCAGTGGACCCCACTCGTTCAACACGTTATATTTCTACACCCCATTCATTCAGACATGTAGATTCCTGCAGTAGGATAAGCCTGGAGGGACTTAAACACAAAGAGAGAAAATGCTCTGCCAATGAGCAGAGAAATGCAAAGCAAAGATGAACCAAATGTGAGGGAATCCCACTTTTCAAACCTATAAGTATCTAGCTACAGCAAAAATTTTCTTTTAAAGAATGACATAAGGATGATGTAAGGCGAAAGAAGTAATTTTGAATTATTCTACTTGTAATGGGAAATTGTACTTAAGAGTAAAAGGCAACAGTTGAATTTTGTTAGGAACAAATTTTGAGAGGAAAATGAGCCATTCATATCATTTCCAAAAACTTCTAAACTCAAATACAACAAGGAAAATTACTAATTAAACAGTTATTACTTATTTTAGCTAGTATAGGAGTTTTCCATAGGTCTAAGAGATGATAAAGTTACACTGGGGTTATGCTTTTTAAATGTTCTGTGTGTATATTATTGTATACTAGGACTATTTGCAGAAGTGGTACATAAATATATTTATGTGTATTTTTTAAATGAAGCATAATTTTTTTACTGTTTAATGAGATTGTAGGTGAGGAGTTATGCCCTAGATAAAAGGACAAATTACCTGTGATCTATGTGATGAAGTACCCTTAGATAGGAACATACCCTTTAATTAAAATATTAATTTACTAATGAGCAAACAATATCTATTTCATGAAGATTTATTTATGTAACACAGTGAAAAGCTAGGACTGCCTATATTCTTTCAGAATAGCTTGCAATGGGTACAAGCATGGATGCTCAAGTTGGAATGTCCAGGTTCAAATTCTGGCTCTGCCACTTACCAGCTATAAGACTGAGTAAGTTATTCAACCTCTTTGGGTCTTGGTCTTCTTTTCAGCCAATGTAAATAATACTACTAGCTACTTCACAGAGCTATTGTGAAGATTAAGTGATTTGAAACATGTAAAGGTGATCAGAACACAACAGTTCTAATCACATAGTAAAGCACTCATCATTATCATCTTTTACAAAGAAGAAAATTTATTTTACCTAAATTTTATAAAAATAAAACTGCTAAATATGAATATTTTGAATTTGTATGGTATTAAAGTTATAGACACACATACACATTAAGTCGGATAACTGCCTTATAATATAAATAATGAAAAGAAATTATAGCATCTAAATTACTCTCTCATATTATGACATGAGAGTTCCACAAGAATCTTGGTCCGGTTCATTTCAGGTACCATTATTTAAATGTACAAGTCAGTAAAACCCTTGAGGAAATTTCACTCTCAAAAAGGCTTGCTCACTAGAAAACAAAATCTCTTAACTTCTAATGAGCAAAGTTATATGTTTTCTTCCAGTAGCTACAGTGGAACTCCTGTTACATGACTCACTACTATATGTGTTCAGCTAAACCCATGAAAATCCATAATGTTAATAGAATATTTCAAGTATGTATTGAAAATGGTTAGCCTATGAATAGTCATGAGCTTGTAAATAAATATAATGGAGACAAATATCTATGTTATAAAATGAAAAAGTGCATTCTTAATTATATAAACAGGTCTTTCTCATAGGTCTAAATTATTTTTGAAATTCCATATTTTTTAACATTAACTTTCTGGATTGACGTATTTTCTCTACTCTTCAGCTTAATACTTCAGAAGGTAATGTATCACAGATTAATTTACTGGATAATGAAAACAAAGATTTTGAAAAGGAAAATGGGGGGAAAAAAAAGAATGAATTACCTTAGAGTAGGATAGTGGATAACCAAGTAATAGGGAAGTCATTCTTGGTTCTCCAAAGAATAAAGATTTTAGAGACAGTTGTGTATCTTTTGGTCTTGGGTCAATTGTTAAGAACGATAGAAAGTGACTCCAATATAGTTTCCATTATGCAAATCACTCACAGAATTTTAGTACTGAAGGAACTATAAAAACATCTAATTCTATCCCCTCATTTATCAGATACAGAGAAAGGTAGGTGCCTTATTCAATTTGCATAGCTAAAACCCAGGACTTCCAAATCCTTCCTACTTAGTATTCTTTTCATTGCACAGAGTTGCCCTCAATCATTAGCTTGATGTTTCTTTATAGTATACAAAGACTTAATAATTTTAGTTTTATCTCTGTATAGGTTTACTAGAAATAGAAGAGCATAAAATGGAGAAGCAAAAGATTCTTTAAAGTTTAAAATAAACTTTACATTTTTATAAAAGAAAGTTACTTTTAAAGACCCCACTATAAGATTTATCAAGTATAAAATCATGTTTTTCAATGTGCTAATAGATATCTATTATATAATAGGCAGTGTGGATTAGAATTCAGAAAAGCATGAGTTCCTATTTCAGCTCTACCATTTATTAGCTATATATCCAAGAGGCACTGTCAAATAAGAAGGCAATTTAGGAAAGTAATTAGAAATTACTTTGAAAACTAAACAGTAATATATAAATAAAAGGAATTATTCTGATATTAATAGTTGAACCTTTATTTATAACCACTTGTTGAATATTACGTACCAAGTTTTTTATTTTGGAGGTATAACAAGTAATCTACTATGTGAATAATATATTTCAATAAATTATAAAACCTACCACTGTCACTGCTGCTATCAGAAGAGTCCTCCTCTTCCTCAGATTCAGAATAAAATTTCTTAGCAGAATTCTCTTTCTTTGCTTTTCCTGCTGGCGTCCATTCTTTTGCCTGTTTAAACAAACAAAGTAAATGTAAATGAATTCCCATTAGGGATTCAGACTTCTGGTAAATTTAATCATTCATAATACAACTGTGAACTCAAAGTTTAAGAACTCAGTAGAGAAGGGAACTGTTAAAAGTCCTGGCCTTAAGACTGATTCACTTTACTAGTTACCTCCCTTCCACTTCCCCTCTACCCTCAACCAAAGTTTGCACAACGCAGCATCTAAAATGACTCTATTAGCACCTAGGTCGAATCAAGCTCCTCTTTGGTCTGAAACCCTGCAATAGCTACCCATTTCACCCAAGAGAAAAAGCCAAAGTCCTTACAACATTCTGCACAGACCTACATGACCAGCCTTTTGCCACCATCCCTCCACCACCCTCCTGCCCGTTGCCTCTCTGACCTCCTCCAGTTGCTAGCCCTCCTGCTCACTCTGCTCTAGCCCCTCCTTTCTGCCCCTCCAAATGCCCTGCGAATGCTCCCAGCCCAGGGTCTTGCCCCAAGCTGTTCCCACTTCTAACACTATTTCCCCATCCTTAAAAAAAATCATAGCACTTATTATTTTCTAATATACTATACAATTTATTTATTTTTTTAATTGTGGTCTATCCTGATAGAATGTAAGCTTCTGGAGAGCATGGATTTTTTAATATTTTGTACAGTGATGTATCCTAACTGTGGCTAGCACTATAAATATTAGTTATATTTATTAGACTCTTAAAGACTTGAATATTGGCTGGGTATGGTGGCTCACATCTGTAATCCTAGCACTCTTGAAGGCCAAAGCGGGAGGATTGCTTGAGCTCAGGAGTTCGAGACCAGCCTGAGCAAGAGCGAGAACCCGTCTCTACTAAAAAAATAGAAAGAAATTAGCTGGACAACTAAAAATATATATAGAAAAAATTAGCCAAGCATGGTGGCGCATGCCTATAGTCCCAGCTACTTGGGAGGCTGAGGCAGAAGGATTGCTTAAGCCCAGGAGTCTGACGTTGCTGTGAGCTAGGCTGACATCATAGTACCCTACCCAGGGCAACAGAGTGAGCCTCTGTCACAAAAAAGAAAAAAGACTTGAATATTAAATTCAGAATTTTGTTTGGATTTCAGTTTGTTTGGATTTAAGAAAAATATAGACTTCAGTGTTTACTTTAATATTACTAATATGAATCCCTTAAAGATTTTTAATACAGCATATTAAACTGCTTTTATATTAAAACTGTAACTTTGCATCATTAAGAACAAATTAAATCATGTTTCCACATATTCTTTTTTTTTTTATGAGACAGAATCTTGCTTTATTGCCCAGGCTAGAGTGAGTGTCGTGGCGTCAGCCGAGCTCACAGCAACCTCAAACTCCTGGGCTCAAGCAATCCTGATGCCTCAGCCTCCCGAGTAGCTAGGGCTACAAGCATGCGCCACCATGCCCAGCTAATTTTTTCTATATATATTAGTTGGCCAATTGATTTCTTTCTATTTATAGTAGAGACGAGGTCTCGCTCTTGCTCAAGCTGGTTTCGAACTCCTGACCTCAAGCAATCCGCCCGCCTCGGCCTTCCAGAGTGCTAGGATTACAGGCATGAGCCACCATGCCCGGCCCAAATATTCTTTTTTAAAGAGCAGAAAAATGTATATATTTTTTAAAAGGTCAAAGTAGTTAAGACTCACTTATTTATTATACTTTTAAGTTTCTACTATGTACCAGTCTCTGCTAGAGTACATATTTTGTTATCAAGGAATATATAGCATGACAGAGGTTCTTATTCAACAATGGTCCTCAACACTGGATGCATATTAGAATCACTTGAGAACGTATTTTTAAATGCTAATACAAACAATAAAAATATTAACACTAAAAAACTAAAACCTAGGCCGGGCGCTGTGGCTCACGCCTGTAATCCTAGCTCTTGGGAGGCCGAGGCGGGCGGATTGCTCAAGGTCAGGAGTTCAAAACCAGCCTGAGCAAGAGCGAGACCCCGTCTCTATTACAAATAGAAAGAAATTAATTGGCCAACTGATATATATATAAAAAATTAGCCGGGCATGGTGGCGCATGCCTGTAGTCCCAGCTACTCGGGAGGCTGAGGCAGAAGGATCACTCGAGCCCAGGAGTTTGAGGTTGCTGTGAGCCAGGCTGATGCCACGGCACTCACTCTAGCCTGGGCAACAAAGCGAGACTCTGTCTCAAAAAAAAAAAAAAAAAAAAAACTAAAACCTAGGGTTCACCTTCTGTGATTTTGATTTAATTGTTCTGGTGTAGGTCTGACATAAATTTGTCATATGATTATAACGTGCAACTACATTTAAAAAACAATGATCTAAAGGGCTTAAGGCATGTTACTTAAAGAGATAAGCTTCAGGAACCTGGAAAATTACTAACTGCACAATATCAGGAAAATGAGTAAAAACTACCTGAATATATTTGAATAACATAATTGCATAAGATCAGTAGTACTGCTTTCTTTTATGTGTATTTAAAATGCTTCTGCCTCCAATTATCAATAAAGATAGTATTTTATAAACAAAGGTCCCCTATATTTAGTAAATACTTAAGTCTATATTTTTCTTAAATCCAAATGAACACATTTCTCTGAAGTCTGATAAAAAGTTTGTTGGATCAATTTAGTAAGACTAAATCAACAACTTGGAAAAATTGGGCTTCTGTGCTCAAAGGGATATATTATCTTGACATGTCCATGGGCTCTATATTCATGAAGTTTCAGATTTTAAAGAGCCAAAGATTAACAATAAAAATATTTTAATTTTTATTATGGTTCTTTATGACTACGATAGTTGTATCAAAAGCAAAAGGAATAACAGGAAAAAGAGAAGAGGAGAAGAACAGAGAGGTATTAATTTAAGAGTTCCTATGAGGGATAAAATATTAATAGATGCGTTTATAAAGCAAAATACCCTTGATATGCAAACAGTTTTCTGTAACTGGAAAAGAAAGGATTTTCTAGAACTAAGTAACAAAATTCTAAAGAATCTTCAAAACCTAATGGTATCATAATATAAATATACATTATATCTGATATCCTGGAAATGGTGGTGTGTAATTCAAAGTGACTTCCAGTGTCAATCTGACTAGGTTCCCTGTTGTTTTGATTAAAGTATTAGATTATCTAAACCTAGGCCATTTTTCTTACTAAGGTATATTTCATAGTAACAAAATATGACCGTTAGATCGTGAAACTAGAATAGCATAGTGTATTAAGTGCAAGAAATACATTAATATGACTTTGGTGGGGAGGGGAAGTAGAATGAGAGGCAAGAAAGACGGTACGAGCATTCTGCGTTGTTATAGCTGCATTTGAAAATAAAACTATCTACATTATTTTTATATTTAATTATATCCTTCATAGTATAATTTTAACTAATATGTCTCAGAGACTAATAGATTGAAGCTATTTTCTGCATGGCATCAATGGATAGTGACAGTTCTCTTCAACCAGATTCTATCAGTTATAAATATTCTCCATTGTAAGCGACCAATTATTAATTTCAGAAATGTATTTCATAAAATGAAAAATCAAATTTGTTCCCATTGAACTGGACAGGTGAAATGAATGTAAGAAAATAGATTATTTAAATACTAACTATATAAGGTAGTTAATGTTTAGAAGGACACATGAAAATGGAAGAAGCTAGCCAACCAACCAACCAATCAGCCAACATAAGGATACTGCTGAGAACAAATTAAACTGCAGCATTGGTATACATTTCTGACAACAGAGACCTTTCTTGGGGATGGGGAGTGGTGGCAGGGAGGTTGGGGATAGGATGGAAGTAGAGTGAGGATAAAAGGATGGTTCTATTTGGGCCAAAACATTATGTTCCCAATGATGAGAAAGAACAGAATCATAAAAACAACAAATAGGCATAATATGAAATTAGGAGAAGGAGTATATCTGTAGGGAGAATCATAATAAAGTATTCTCTTCATATTCTAGTATTTGACCAAAAATTGCATAAATAGGAAATTGTTTTGAAGAGCACTTAAGAGTATGCAGATTTGTGTGAAAATCAACAAACTTAATTGCAAGGAGAAAGAAGTGTAATTAATTTTCATATTTTTAACTTTTGCCCTTTTTTGGCCATCTCTAAGTAAGAGATCATTTATCACAGCATGAAAATGATAGCACTAAGTATTAAAGATAACAAAGATTTGCAAACAAGCTCAAGCTTCGTCTCCTCATGACATAATAAAATGTAGTAAGACCATGGACAATGGACTCAAACAGACTTGGGTTGGAATCTGGTTCTATCACTTACTAGCTACATGAACTTAGGCAGTTTAATATTTAATAATAATATTAGGTTCTATGAGACCTGGCTTCCCTCATCTGTAAAATGGGAATGACAATAACCAATAACCATCACTTATGATCATTATGAGATTTAAACAGGATAATGTTTGTAAAATATTATCATAGTACACTGTCAAGGTTTGCTAAATGGAACTATTATTAGTTATTATTGCTTCTGGCCATGTTCCAAAGCCAGGATAAGTTGGGGTGGTTAACAGAAACATTTTTCTGAGAGGAATCAAATTACATGGCTATGATCATTATAGAAATTCTATTTTAAGTAATAAAGGTCTTCTATTGCAGTGGTCCCCAACCTTTTTGGCACCAGGGACCAGTTTCATGAAAGACAATTTTTCCAGGGATGGTAGAGGGGGGTGGTTTCAGGATGATTCAAGTGCATTACACTTATTACATTTGCAGCTGCTCCCCAGCACTAGCATCATGGTCTCAGCTCCACCTCAGATCAACAGGCATTAGATTTTCGTAAGAAGCACAGAACCTAAATCCCTCACATGCACAGCTTTCAGTTGGGTTCGAGCTCTTGTGATAATATCTAATGCCCACCCCCCATCTGACTGGAGGCAGAGCTCAGACGTGAGCAATGGGGAACAGCTGTAAATACAGATGAAGTTTTGTTGGCTTGCCCATCACTCACCTCCTGCTGAGTGGTTCATGACAGACATGGCTACCAGTCTGCAGCCAGAGGAGTTGTGGACCATAATTTTATTATATAGAGAAAAAATAAGAGCAAGGAAGCTAACTCACTTTCCTGCAGGAATTAGTGGTAAAGAATTTGGTTATCTGAATCCTAGTTCAATATATCTTTTCTACCAGAAAAGTATCCAGAATAGTATTCTTAATTTCTCATTTTTATTAATTCTACTTTAAAAAGTATATTTCACATAATCAATCTCAGACTTCTGGCCTGAAACAATTCTCCCGCCTCCACCTCCCAAAGTGTTGGCCTCATACAGTCAATCTCTAAATACAATCAGAAGGCCCCTCTCCTTATTTTTCTTGTTTATATAAGAAAGAAACAGATAATATTAGAAAAGAATGTTAATTCTTTTACCCTAATGGTGAGCATTTTTTAAAAATCTAGAAAAAGAGTATTTACAGAGCAAGTAAAATATTAAAGCAATATATCATATCATTCATTTTAATTGTGACCTTCTCAATGGATATTTTTGGTACACAGTGCTCCCTATTTATATTTAGGCTTCATTTAAAACAGGTTCACCAGAAATCCAGAAGAACACTTTGTGTGGTTTTTCTGGAAGAGAACAGCAAAACAAAACAAAACAAAACAAACAAACAAAAAAATCTTAGAAAAATAATGACAGGAAGCCTCAAATCTCTAAACAAAGTAGAAAAAGCTCAATCCAATGAAACTAAATACCTTACAAATGGAATCTACACAGCTACAAATGCAATAGCGCAAATGTGTGTGGCGCTAATGCAGAGAATTCAATTCTCTATTTCCTTGAAGAAGAGGAACAGTACAAGTACAATGACATAGGAATACTATATTTAGTTCCTCTAAAGGCACAGTGTATCTAACACATTACATTTAGAAATACTAGAACAATATTTTCAATTTTCAACTCTCCTAAAAAGCTTTTATATAAAGCAACAGTTATCCTAGAATCTCCCACTGTTTGAACAAAATTAATTTCAGAAAGGTCAACTTACCAACTCTATTACTTCTACATTTCGAACTGATGGGTCGGGCGCCACCTCTGGCCAATTAGATAATTCCAGGTACCCACTAGCTTTAGCGTTGAGAGTATGAGATAAAGTGCCAAGCTGGAAATGATCTCTATCTATTAAAAACAGAGGAAAATATAAAATAAACAATATAAGCTGTATATAACAGCGAACAGTCGTAATCAGAGCTCAAGGTAATTGGCATATTACCTCAAATGTCAAGGAATAAATATAAACTAGGAAGCTCTTCATAGGTCAAAAAACTGATTTCAGTCCATAGATTACAATAATCTCCCCCATAATGGTCAATAAAAAAGCTAATCAGTCAGTGTGTTTAGAGGTGTTGCTCTGAAATGTAGCTTCTCTAAAAATTACTTTACTGTGAATATTAAGAATGACAGCACAGTTAAACAATCCATATACATGTCTTGGCACAAACACATCCAGAATTTTAATAGTTTTTCTACAAAACTGAATTGCTTTTTATTGCTTTACAACAATTAAATAAGAAACAATATGAAAACCAAGGTATATGGTCATTTGATTCCAAGTTAATGGCTACTTGTTAAACAATAAAATATTTAATTAGTCCTTTTAAAAAGCTGGGAAAAATAAGTCAACTTCTCTCTTTGAAAAAGAAACTTAAATAAAAAGGGATATGAAATAATTCCCCCTAGAAATGTTGCTATTAGTGTACATAGAATATGTAATTAATAATACCTCATTATTAAAATAACTTATATTCCTTATAAAATCAATCTGCTTAAAATTTAAGTAAACATAATATCTATAAGAAGAACGAAGCTTTCATCTACTGGTTAAACTGTTTATTAAGAATAAAAATAAAATTAAAATTATTTAGGTAAATAAGGTCTATACAAATATAAACTTTACCATAAAACTTGCTCTAGAAAACAGATGAATCAGTAGAAAACACACTGTTCTTCTATATTCACATATGCTAATCATTTGCCTTATTAATACCTGAGATAAATTTTAAACATATTAGAAATGGGCAGATACTTCCATAATTTTTTAAATAACACATATTTTACATTTATAGTTTGATAATAATACCTTTAAAAGGAGACTCAAGCAATGGTGCAGGTTTTTGTGCTAGGAATATTTTTTTGGCATATTTACTTAAAGCTCCACTCTTTTCATTCGGAACAATAAGCTGCCTAATAAATCTTGTACGGTCTCTGATGTCGTAGTTTTGATCATACTTGCCGAGATTTAATATGTACTGGGTAAGCAATTTTGTCTGTTGGAAAAAAACAGAACAAGATGAGAATACAGTTATTTATGATTATTGATAACTCTGGATAAACATATTTAAAGAGATAATAAAAATGAATGGTTATGTCAAACAAATGTTGTTCCGTAGGGAATATGCATTTCTAATGCTGCAAATGGAATTTTGAAGCCAAAGCACATGTCCTCTTCTGTACTGGGGAGGTGAATGCTGAGTACTGAGAAGCAGCCATGTGCTAGATTATTAAACTGCTGAAGTGGAAAGAAAGGCATCATTAAAAAAATAATCATATATGGCAAACCCGTGAAGGGTCTACGTGAGAATAATGAATGTGGAAATACAACTAAAAACATGGCACTCAAAACTTAATCGGAAAAATATGCAGGACATCAAAACATCAGAGAGTATTAGGGGGCTGGCAAACTGCTTCTCCTGAGGTGTGTTTTATGAAGAGATACTGTCCCTGGCATAAGCAGTGTCTGCACTCTGACTGCACTCAGTTACTTTACCCTGAATTATGACCCATTAAAGCAGACACATGAATCACTGAACTGGATTACTGCAAATTATTTGCAGTGCATTTAGCTGTTACTTTTTCATAAAAGCAAGCTGCTGATGCCCTCTAAAAACTAGGATAAAAGACTTCTTCCATTTTTTCTCCCATGCTGCTTATAGCCTCTAGTAATATTGGTCATTTATTTATTTATGTAAGGGAACAACTTATTAGGGTAGCTTTTATACCGTAATAAGACTTCCTAAGTCAATTTTTGAATGTACTACATTAACATACATTGAGATAATTTTAATAATAATTAAGCCAAAATTGAAATGTTAACAAAATAGGTTTGTATAAACTACAGTTATTTTATTTAAAAAGCATAGTTTTAACTTAGAAACCTACACATGTACAATTGTAACTACAAGCCAAACAGGATTCATAATACATAGGAAAAAATAAACTGAGGAACAGTAAATCATATACATTAGATTAGAACATTTTATACATGTTAGAAAACAGATAAAAAATAAAAATGAATCCAGTTTAGGCAGAGCTAGAGGCAATTCAAGAACAATAAGTCAAAGTACAGGAATGGTGAGGTAAACTCTTTTACAATAGTAATTGGTTAAGATAATTGATTTGGATAGAAAGCAACCGTCTTTCAGTAGCAAGATACTTAAAAAGCATTAGTCTAGTTTTATTAAAGTAGAATTATAAAAAAATACAAGTGAAAATGTTAATAGAGCTATTCTGAATTTGGGAAAGAACAATTGCTCTTCACTAATTGCTAGACCATGCAACTACAGATAAGAAAAATTCTATAATTCATTTTCTAAAGACAATCAGCAAAATATTCACCCAATGAGTACTACAAGTCAAAATCAGCTTAAAGGGAAAAGTGGTACACTCAACTGTGTAATTAACTTCTGGGAAAAACAGGGAAACTCACTTAACCATTAGTTTTCTCAAATGTAGAGTGAGAATTTACAACGAGGTTAACTTTAAAGTCCATTTGAGTGTTGAGATTTATAATCTACAACTAAAATAAATCAGAGAAAGTAAGGCTCCTAATTGCAATGATTTATTTTGAGCTAGCAGAGTGATGCATTTTGCTTATATTTCCTATCCCCAAAATTAATTTCAGAAAATAAAACTTTTTCAATGTACTAATAATTTTGAGAGTGAGACAGGGTATCTAAAGTAACCAAAATTACATGATTTTAAAATATATATTAACTATAAAATTTATTATCTTGGTGAGCTTATAAAATAGTTCTATTAAAATGTATTTTCAATAAATAAAATTCTTTCTAAAATATATAAGCATATCTGTGCACAATGATGCATTAAAAACACAAGCAGAATAATTATTCACTGCACATACATATACTTTTAGCCAGTTTCTTCATTGTATCTATCCCTAGTACCAACCAAAGCTTTGATGTTTCTCTAGAGCAGGCATCCTCAAACTATGGCCCGCGGGCCACATGTGGATATTTTTGTTCATTTGTTTTTTTACTTCAAAATAAGATATGTGCAGTATGCATAGGAATTTGTTCATAGTTTTTTTTCAAATTATAGTCCAGCCCTCCAATGGTCTGAGGTACAGTAACTGGCCCCCTGTTTAAAAAGTTTGAGGACTCCTGCTCTAGAGAATATATTTTTATATGGTCTTATAATTTAAGTTTAAAAAAATAAAACTGTTTTACAATCTTTTTTAAATTAAATTTTATGATTAGTAATTATGAAATTGTTGACATTTTCAACTTACTATTCTTTGTAGATAATAACATTCTAATGGAGAAAATTCCCCCACCCTTTTTTTTTTTTTAAAGACACAGGGTCGGCCAGGCACGGTGGTGCACGCCTGTAATCCTAGCACTCTGGGAGGCCAAGGCTAATGGATTGCTCTAGGTCAGGAGTTCAAAACCAGCCTGAGCAAGACGAGACCCCGTCTCTACTATAAATAGAAAAAAATAAATTGGCCAACTAATACATATAGAAAAAATTAGCCGGGCATGGTGGCGCATGCCTGTAGTCTCAGCTACTCGGGAAGCTGAGGCAGCAGGATTGCTTGAGTTTGAGGTTGCTGTGAGCTAGGCTGATGCCATGGCATTCACTCTAGCCTGGGCAACAAAGCAAGACTCTGTCTCAAAAAAAAAAAAAAAAAAAAAAAGACATAGGGTCTTCCTCTGTTGCCCAGGCTGGAGTGCAGTGGTACAATCATAGCTCCCCGTAGCCTGGAACTCCTGGGCTCAAGTGATCCTCTTGCCTCAGCCTCCTAAGTAGCTGGGACTACAAGTGTGTACCACAACTCTCAGCTAATTTTTAATTTTTTATTTTTTTTTGTAAAGACAGGGTCTTTCTATGTTGCTTAGGCTGATCTTGAACTTCTGGCCTCTAGGGATTCTCCCTCCTTGGCCTCCCAAAGTGCTAGGATTATAGGCATAAGCCACCGCACCCAGCTGAAATGACAGAGAACAAACATAAAAATACTTTGAGTGAAAAAAGTCTATTATTGGAATTAACTGATTTTCTATTGGAAAATCTGCAGTGTGTGGCCTTTTTTCTACTAATGGAGCCAACACATTAATAGCTACTGTTTCAATTTTTATATGTGCAAAAGTATCCTTGGAATAAAAAGTGAAAAGGTAATTTTTAAAAAGTCATTTTATCTCAATTAGATCATTTTTCATATAGAGTTATGTAAACATCTTCCATACCCATATGTGTTAAAGTATCATCTTGAGGCATAACCTTCTTAAAAATAACTTCTAACTTTTTAAACAGATGTTCATCCTTTTTTAGCAGATTTGTTCTCTTTTGTTATGTGGTCAGTGAGTGATATCACTACAACTCTCATGGTGAATAGTAAATGTCAACAAACATTTGTGCATGTTAAGTACTGAATGGAAATTTAACACTTCATTCTTCATTATATACACATTTCCATTAAAAAATGTAGTGCTGATGAGTTCATAACAAAATGAAAACAGAGCTGTCAAGTAATAAAATAAAATAAGTTTTAGATTTACACTTTGCAATTTGACTACTCTCTTTACTGATCTATAGCAGGACTGTTTAGTTGTTACCCCCAGCACATATTTCACCTATAACCAAGCTCTAACTTCCCATTTTTCCCTGACTCCTTTCACTAGCAGCCTGGGGCTCCACGCATCTCACAGGCCATGGCACCACTTGCTGGTACATCAAGTTGCTGCCAAATGAAACACTGTTAAGTATTCATTTCACCACCACCAGGAAAAGTGAAAGACAGCTTTCCTCACCTGCTTTGTCAGAGTGTACTTCATTTTACAGCACACACCGTGTATGCTAGTCTAAAGTGGGAAGTTAGTTAACTTACATCCAGAATGGGTTGGAAAATGAGTCTTTCAGATTTAAAATATTTCACATATTAAAATGAAATCTGTGTTCACTGCACTTGTGTTTTACATACCACTAAACAGAACCATGGGAGAAGCTAGAAGTTCAAAGTGGAGATCTACAAATTTACTCTGTCCTATTTTAATGCAACTATTAATATTACTTCATTAAAAATTTGGGACAAATCCTAAACTAGATGAGACACTTAGATAACAGGCATAATTAGATCTGTCCAGGCCAGCTGTTATGAAGAAAATAGACAACCATGGCTGGGCGTGGTGGCTCATGCCTATAATCCTAGCACTCTGGGAGGCCGAATCAGGAGGATTGCTCAAGATCAGGAGTTTGAAACCAGCCTGAGCAAGAGCGAGACCCCATCTCTACTAAAAATAGAAAGAAATTAATTGGCCAACTAAAAATATATAGAAAAACTTAGCCGGGCATGGTGGTGCATGCCTGTAGTCCCAGCTACTCAGGAGGCTGTGGCAGTAGGATCTCCTGAGCATAGAAGTTTGCGGTTGCTGTGAGCTAGGCTGATGCCACGGCACTCTAGTCTGGGCAACAGAATGAGACACTGTCTCAAAACAAACAAACAAACAAAAAAAAAACAGACAATCATGACATTTGAGGCTCAATCTAAAACCAGATGGACAATTAAATAGTACTTTAAAATTTGTTTTATTCATAAATTACACAAGATAAGCAAATAGAATATATAGCATTAACAGAAATATTAAATATTGTATATACAGCTATTTATTAAATTTTGATTTCAGATTAATTTTCCTGCTTAGATTTAAAGAACCACTTCTGGTACCAACTAATGACTAATGCTATCCAGACACTATTTACAGCAATTACATTCTTTTCAGATTGACTCTAAGTTACTGTGACATGGAAAATGAATTTTGAGAGTGCTATACAAAAATTAAGAAATTCATTATTTAAAAGTCTTCTCAAAATATGGGTATCATATTTTTACATAAATACTCTGAGAATAAACTACTGAAAATGTTAAACAATAGCTTTCTTCTGACAGTTCATGGGTCAGTACAAAATAATTTAAAAAGGTCTCTTAAAACATAGTCCTAGTATCAGCTTAGAAATACTATTAGTTTAAGGAATA